CCAGGAGGGGAGTCTCCTTTTCTGTGAAGGATTTGCCCAGAAAGCACCTTGGAGAGCCAGACCCCAGAGTGCAGCAAGAGCAGGATGCAGAGATGAGGGAAGAAAATGGTCTATAACAGCAAGCCCAGGCCTGGGTAAGACAGGAGGCTCCTCTCCAGGCTTCTACAGTGGGTTCAAGGAGGATGTGTCCAGTCTTCCTCTTCTTTCTTGTTGAACTCCCCCAAATCCACAGTCCAGATGGGATGCTGTGACTGAGTGATGGGAACGCTGGAGCGATGACCTCTGAATGACCGCCAGCATCCCCAAGCCAAAGGACATGGAGAAGGTCCTTGCTCCAGGGACAGTCAGGGCTGGAGGCATCCTCACCCTCACTGTATCCCAAGCAGGAGCCCTTTGCTCCCAGGCGCTGATCACATCACACACTGAGGACCAGAGGGAGGATTTGCCTCTCCTCCTTGGGGGATGAGAGGCTGGAAGGGGGCAGCGTGGTTCATATCCAACTCATAAGCCTCTCAGAGCTCAGGCTTGAGGACTGAGATTCACTCAATTAATTTTGCTTTGGCAAAAAGTCCATTTTTATTGCTATTTCATGCCTTCAGTATAGATTTTCCTTGCTCGTCTCAAAGGGATAATAAAACCCGACTCGTTCTTTTTATAAAAGTCTCACACTCCCTCTCTCACCAGGCTCTGTGTTCCCCAGCTAGAGATGTAAATTTAAAGGGGAAATGCTGTCATTTAAAACAAAACAAAACCAAAAAAAGCAACTCAGAAAGCCCAGCTTTGAGCATATTCCAGCTCTCGAAACTAGGCCGTGCAACCAAAGCAAAAACCAAGCTGCCACCTTCCCGCGGTGAAGCGGCATTCCCGCAGCGATCCCAACCTCCCACAGGGGAATGGGGGGTGACTGCCAGCCCCAGGAAGCCACTCTCCATCTTGCAGGGATGCTGGTGGCCCTCTGCTTGCTGGGACGTGTAGTTTTTGCCAGCTGGGTGCTGCTGAGAGAGCTCCTTGTGCTTGGATGCGATGCTGGAACCCCAGCACCTGCACCTGCCTCCCACCTCCTCCTCCTCCTCCTCCTCCTCCTCCTCCATACCAGGTGAAAGCCTCGCTGCTGCTGGCCTCAAGCAGCTGGACCAGTCCTCCTGAGGGAAATCCCAAACCCACACAATTCCGAGCAGGTGGATTCTGAGCGTGTTTTCAGGCAGGCAATGGGACAGGATGGTGGCAGGACAATACACGGGCCTGCCTGCTCCACCCCAGCTGGGATGCATCCTGCCTGCTCTCCAAAAGGGCTGTAGCTGTGCAGGATCCCTCTGAGAGGTGAAGAAGGGAAAGGGAAACTGCCTTTCCTCTGCCTTGTGCCTTGCTGCCATGACCTTCTGGGGGGATAGGATGCGAGCAGCGGAAGCCAAGTGGAAGTCTTGTCATCAGTGGGTGGCAGCAATTGCCTGGGGACAGGGCGGGGTCCCCAGCACCACCAGGATTTAAGGGCAGGTTACACCGAGGTGCACGCCTGGCAGGGCTGATGCAGCCTGCTAGGACAGACTCAAGCCTGTGCTGCCTGCCTTGGCTGTGTGTCTGATTTGGTGACGTGCATAAATCCACCATCACTGGGACTCTCCCGGCTCGGCAGGAACCAGGAGCAAATCCAAAACAGAGCAAATCCAAAGCAGAGCAAAGCCGTGCGAGGCAAGAGACAACACACAGGTATCTGCACTGTGCCACCCCAGCCCAGGACCAAACCAGGCCAAGAGGTGACAGCCAAACCTTTCATATCCAAATGTTTCTCCTTCTCCCCATCCTGTACCCTTTTCCTGAACCTCCCTGCCAGGCTGACTGCATGCCCTGGCTGCCAGGAACTCGGGGCCCTGCCTGCATTTGGCAGGGCAGGCAGCACCCACGGCGAGAGGAAACCCACAGCTCTCTCTGCTCCTGCAGGTGTGCCCGCAGCAAACAAAAGTTGTAGGGCAGCTGACAAGGACGGGCAGGAAAGGAGAGACAAGGAAAAACCCAGGTGCTATCACACTCCCTGGCTAACTGATGGTGCAGCACCTCCAGGCTTACCTCTGGTGCCCCCAGTGAAGCTGTGGCACAGCTCCATCAGTTAAACCAAAGTTGTGCCATTTCCTCTGATGGCAGAATAAACGGTCCTTCCCCATCGTGGGCTGCCTGAGGGATGCCAAAGAAAATTCTGCACCTCCCCCGTTTCAGGGGAAAATCAGTTGGAGTGCCTAGATTTTCCTGCAGAGCCCTCACAGGACTCGACCCTCCAGGCTGGAAAATCCTTAGTGTGCTCTGACAACCTCTGCAGCTCAGGCAGAGGCGAGAGATGATTAAGACTGGCTGAAATCTCCCAGGACTCTGACATCTGAGAGGCCCCATGCAAGGCAGAGAACCACCCCAGGCTGCTCCTTGCAACCTGCAGCTCCCCTCACCTTAGCATGGAGCTGAAGGGAGAGCAGGGACCCAGCGGGGCCAGGAACCAGGTCACCGCTGCTGGTTTCCAGGCAGCAAAGGTTTGGAAGAGCAGAGGATCATTTAGCAGAGCGACAGTGAAGGTTCAGAGCAGAGCCTTCAAATTACACGCTACAGAGCACTTTTCCTGCCTAAAAGGTCTCTGAAATGACTGTGGCGGCTCTGAAACGAAGCACTCTGTATGCAATTGTTCCCTGGGGCTTGCAGCGGAGACAGAGCCGGGAGAGGAGAGGTGGGTCTGCGGTCCCTGGCACGGGCAGCTCCTCATCAGATGAGGATACACACTTCTTCTGGGCTCCACAGCACAGCACTGCTGCTTCCCTAAATCTCCCTGGTGGTTTCTACCAGTCGTGGTATTTTTTTTTTTTGTTTAATTTCTCACTTCCTGCCTTGAACTTCACACAGCTCCTGGCCTGGGCTGCAGAGCTGCTGCTGCTCAGGGTGTGGGTACCCCTGTGCTGTGCACAGACTCACACTGCACCCCTCACCATCATCACTCTCGCCACGCCTCGAGGCACACCTCAATCCTATGGAGGAACAGGGAGGGAAGAGCACTCGGGGGGAACATGTCCTGTTCTCCATCTCACTTGGCTTCTTCCCATCTTTCTCCACTCCATCTCCCAGCAGCTCGAGGTCCATTTTCATCAGGCAGTGACAGTCACCAGGAGAAGCAGTCTCAGCACAGCAGGCACCACGCACAGCCAACCCGTGCCTCGCCCGCCGCGGGTCCCCCCACCCTCTGTCACCAGCACACAGGTGACAGCACCCACATCTCCACAGCCACCACGGCGCTGCTCACCCACCTGGGGCACACATACTGCCACCCTGGGAAACACAGCTGTGGGGCAGGAGCGGTCCACAAAGTCCTGGCACACAGCAGGGAACCATTTCTGCACCATCAAGGAGGCTCCGGTGATGCCCAGGAGCTGGGGCAGCTGGAGCTGAGCTGGGAGAGCTCTTGGAAGGTGCTGGCACCACCAGCAATGCTCTCCCTTGGCTGGCACAGGGCCCTAGGAGCACTCTCCCATGCAAAACCCCAACTGTTGGGCTAGTTCCTCCACACCATCACTTTGGGAGGTCACCTGAGGGCAGCCAACACGGGCACCACTGGCAGCCAAGGGGAAAGCGGGCAGGGCCAGTGGCCACAAGAGCTTTCAGCAAGCCAAAATCTGCTCACATCTAAGGCATGGCACCACTCTCCATCAAAGGCAGTGGGGAACAAACATGCACCCCAGCAGCACCCCACTCTGACACCAGCGAGAACCTCCGGCAGGTCTGCAACGTCAGCCCAGCCACGATGCTTCCACCAGCCGGAGCGCCCTGGGGATGCCGACCCCTGGGGCAGCCCAGCACCTCCACTGGGATCCCACCGCCGCGCTCAAGGTGCTGCTCCAGCTGCACATTTCCAGGGAGAGTGGGAACGGGGACAACACACACACACACACACACACACACACAGAGGAATTCAAATGGAATTTCACAGCTGCAGCAAAAGGGCACAGGAGGGGCTCAGGGCTATCTCTCCGAGATGCACCGTGTCCCCGCTCGGCATCCCGGCACCACCGGCCGGTTGCACCGCGGCCACCCGCACCCGCGGGACCGGGGGGGCCGGGGAGCCCCTCCGTGACGTCACCCAGCTCGCGTTTTGGGGGGATCGAGGCGGGTTTGGGGGGAGTTCTGGGGGGGGCCGGAACGGGCTAGGGTTGGAAATACGAGTGCGGAGCGGTGGGAGCGCGGGCGGAAGGGAAGGGAAGGGAAGGGAAGGGAAGGGAAGGGAAGGGAAGGGAAGGGAAGGGAAGGGAAGGGAAGGGAAGGGAAGGGAAAAGGAAGAGAAGGGGATGTGGCGGCGGGTTCGCGGTGCCACCGCCGCTCCAGCGGCAGCAGGAGAGCAGCGGGCCCGGCGGGAGCCGCGGTTGCAGCCGCAGCTGCGACGCGAAGCCCCAGCGGGTAACGGGGCGGCGGGCAGGGCCCCCCCCGCCTCCGGCAGCGCCCCGCTCGCCCGGCCCCTCCGCTCCCCTCGCTCCCCCCGCCGGCCCTTATCACCCGCCGCCCTCCCCGGGCCCTCCCCGGGCTCGGCGGCCCGCCCGGTTCGCCCGGAGCCGCGTCCCGGAGCCCTCCTTACCTGGCGGGCCGAGCCCCGCTGCCTCTCAGCGGCGGCGCTGGGCGGGGGCGGCCCCGGCGGCCATGCCCGGGCGGCCGCGCCGCTCTCCCGCGCCGTGCGAGCCGCCTCGGCGGTGTCAGCGGGCGGGAGCCCCGCGCGGCGCCGGGAGCGAGGGGAGGGACGGCGGGGGCATGACCGAGCGCCGTCGGAAGTGCACGCGCGCCCGCCGCCTGCCCGCGACCGCGGCGACACCTGCCGGCAGCGCCGCCGGTGGCACCGGGAACGGCGGCGGGGCGGCGGCGGCGGGAGCCGCGCACGCCGCGGGCAGCGGGGCGGCCGCTGGGCACGGCACGGCGGGCACCGGGGGAATAGGGAGCAGCGGGGCGGGCTCTGGGCGTGGCACGGAGGGTATCCGGGCACGGCACAACAGGCACCGGGCACGGGGGCTGGCAATGGGCATGGCACGCTGGGAGACGGGGCACGGCACACCGAGCAGCGGGCAGCAGTAGGAACCGTATGGCAGCTCCCGAGCGGGGCACCGGGGACCAGGCAGTGGAGGGTGGAAGTGGTGTTGGGTACCGGGCACGCTGATGGGTGCAGGCACCGGGGGCCATTCGTGAGAGAGTGGCACCGGTGCTGGGTGCGGGGCAGCCCACGGGTAGCACCTGCCAGGTGCTGGTACAGGGCGCTGGAGGGTGACACCGATGCTGGGTGCAGGGCGTCCCACTGGGCAGCATCTAACGGGTGCTGGCACTGGGCAGGATGAGGTCCCTGCAGACACACACCAGATCCTGGGTCCAGGTTCGGAGCTGGAGCTGTCTCTGGGCTTGAATCCACGTTTGGATCAGGACTGCACCACGTGTGGGTCTGCACTTGGGTCTGTGTCTGGATTTAGATCAGGATTTGGAACTGGATTCTGATCCACATCTGGATTTGCATTTGGAGCTGAATTTGGATCCACATCTGGACTTGCCTTCAGAGCTGGATTCAGATCCTCATCTGGATCGGAGTCTGGGACATGCATCTTTCACAAAGGATGGATGTAGCCTTTCCACCCCCTGCTCTCCGAGCATTCCATGGGTGCACAGGGCACCATCACCTCTCGAGGTGTTCATCACTGCCCACTTACCCTGCTCTGGGCAGCCTGGGCACCTTCAGGGCGAAGCTGGGGTCTGCAGCAGTGTGACAGGAGCCCTGACCAGGGACCAGAGGGGAGGGACGAAATGGCAGCGATCCCGCTGGCCTTGGCTGTGCTCAGCGGTGTGTCTGGGGCTGAACGTGCTCCAAGGAGGAGCCGAGGTCAGGGAGGGGGATGAGTGCAGGAAACATATTAAGTGAGGAAAATTGGCTGCAGCCAGCAGCCCTGCCTGATGTTTGCCTGGGATTTTCCTCTCCATCAGGTATCCGGTGTAAGCCCTCGCTGCTGGGTGGTGGCAGCTGGTTATTCATGAGCCTCTTGGATGTGCCACTGGCCACCAGCACCTGCTGTGCACGGAGAGGGGTGGCACCCAGGATCCCCCCCGTGCTTGTGTCCCCTTTGCTGACACCCAGCTTTGGCCAAGGCGACGTGTGCAGATATTTTAAGAGGAAGACTCTGTGCTCTCACAGCTTGACTGCTAATTTATAATCCTGTTTTCCTATTAAAATAAAAGCCTCTCTCTTATTCCCGAACGTGAGAGCCAAAGCGGAGCTCTGAGGAAGTGCCCTGTTTGCAGAACACACTGAAACACACAAAGGAAACGAGGCAAAACCAGCGTTTTGCACGTTTTTGAGCCTCATTTTAGCTGGGACTTGGAACAGCAGAAGGGAAATCTTTTTCCAGCAGGATGTGCACAGCGGGGGTGTGCGTGGAGCTGCTGGTGTCCCTTTGGAGCGGGGCCACCTGCCTGCCGAGGGACAGCAACCGCTGCGGTGGCTGCTTGTCCCCGAGGGGTGGCAGGTCCCTTGGGGATGCTGGGGATGAGGGATGGAGCAGCACGTCCCCCGTGGGGCCGGCCAGGCGGGGATGGCAGCCGGTGGCAGGAAATACCTGCCGCTCCGCCGCTTCCCGGCCGGGCCGAACAAGAGGGAGAGTGTTCGGAGAGCGGCTGCGGCCGCGTGTGGCAGGAGGAGCCTCCGAGGGACACACGGGCCATTGTTCCTCGAGGATGTGGGGCGGAAATTTGGATGGACCCGTTGCGTGCCACGCTCCCAGCATTGCCGGGACTGATCGCAGACTGAGTGGGTTCAGGGAATTCATTAAACACCGTGTCTGATATGGGTGGTGGGACAGCCCCAGAGGAACAACCCCCTTGACAGGGTTCTCCTGCTCCTTGCAGCTGGAGCGTGGCAGATGCCCAGGTGACATTCCCCCCCTTGCACAGCCCCCTAAATATTCTAGGCTAGCTCAGAGGTAAGCAGGCTGTGAGGGGAGGAATATCAGGAGATGGCAAAGATTTCCAAAAGAGGATCTTACCCCAAAATACATTGGTTCAGCTCTCTTTATTCTGTGATCTCCATGTGGAGAGTGGGGCAAAAGAGCACAAACAGGAAATGTCAGGGGTCTGTATAGACTTTGGACAGGGTGGGCTTCCCTGGCTCTCCCCCAACCCCGTTGGGGCAGGAAGGAGGGATCCAGGGTTATCTGATCAGAGTCACAGGGTTCTGGGGAAGGGGAAATAGAGTGCCCATGAGCTCACTGTAACACCCAGGAACTTTCAGCCTTTCCACAGCTCCTGCTGGTATTTGCTGTGGCCCTGCAGTAGCTCTGCTGTTTGCCTGTTCCACCCGCACCCCACCAGCCTTGCAGCAACCTGGAAAGACATTTAATACAGGCTGGGTTTGATCTGCACTTTGACATTCCTTCAAGTGTTCCCTGGTGTTTTCCTGTCGCTTGCACGCTGCCTTTTCCCACCAACGCTTCCTCACTGCTGTAGAAAGGAAGAAAAAGGCTTGCAGCGTGTGCCCAGCCTTGCAAATCCCTAATTACGCACCACACATCCTGGCTTCCCTCGGAGCAGTGTTGCTGGCAGCAGGGATGGGGTGCAGGCTCTCCCCAGTGTGGCTGATAATTCTAGTCCTCCCATTGCCCTTGCAGGGAGAGCAGAGGGGTTTGTCTGCCTGCTCCCACCTGGCTCTGCTCTCCTTCCCCCAGCGCCCATCTCTGCACCGGCTTCCAAATCTGAAGCGGTTTTTAAAGAGAGAGGCTGGAAAAGGGGGAGAGAAGAGAATGTGCTGCTCTCCTTCCGTGCTTCACCCTTTCTCAGGAACTGGCCAGATTGTTTCCATTAGGAAAAGCTGAGGATCCAAGTATTTGTCAATGACCAGGAGAAGATTTGCTGATGGAAGCTGCCGTTCCCTAGAATAATGTTGAGCGAGGTGCTTGGCGTGGACCCATCCTTTTATGGTAAAATTAGGGCTAAACGCTGTGGGGATTTGCATTTGAAGTTGATTGATACGTGGCATTAGTGCACGCGTAGATAATTTTGTATTTTGAGATCGCTGAGCAAGGAATAATTTTTATTTTGGGTCAAAGATAAGGGCATTGCGTTGAGATGAAATATGAAGGGGTGCTGATCTGTGTCATGGACACTGCGTTTCTCTTGGCTGGGTAAGGGGATGGCAGACCTGCATTACCCATTCCTGCCCTTGCTTTTAAGTGCTTTGGGTCTGTGCCTGATGCAAGGAGTGATCCCCTGCTGTCACTTAATGCCAGGACACGGTTCCAACTTTACAAGCTTTGGAGTTTCCCCTTATTAAAAAAAAAAAAAAAATCAAACAAAAAAAGCCAGAAGAAACCTCTGTTATATTTTATTTACTTATTTTAGTAGCTGAAGGCTGTGCCACTGAGAAACATTAATTAAATAGAGCGGTGTGGCTTGATCATTACGGGAAAGGTGTGGGGAGAGCGTTGCCAAGCTGGCAGTGCCTTCCAAACCCCCCTCTGGCAACCTGGACTGATGCTGTCAGCAGCACCTCGGCCCTCCCAGCTGCTCAGTACCAGTCCCTGCCCTTGCCTTTGCTCTTGCAGCACATCCCAGGCCAGGTGGCACGGCTGGAGTCACACCAGGATGTGCAGCTGTTCCCTTGGCAGTAAGGACAAGGGTTCAGCACAGTTGGGGATGCAGGACTGGAGGAAAGGGGCTTCCCTTTGCGTTCCAAATCCACAAGGGCTGAAGAGGTGGTGGCTGCTTTTCTAAATGCATCAGCACAGGGCAACTCCAGACACGAGGGGTAATCCCTCCCTCCCTCCCTCCCTCCCTCCATCTCTATCCATTCATGGAATCATTGAATCCTAGAATGGTTTGGGTTGGAAGGCACCTTAAAACCCATTCCACCCCCCTGCCATGGCAGAGACACCTGCTATCCCAGCTTGCTCCAAGCCCTGTCCAACCTGGCCTTGAACACTTCCAGGGTTGGGGAGCCACAGCTTCTCTGGCAACCTGTCACCACTATAATGGGAAAAATTCCTTCCCAATATCCCATCTAACTCTGTCCTCTAACAGTAGGAAGTGATTCCCCCTGTCCTGTTACTCTCTGCCCTTGTCCAAAGTCCCTCTCCAGTATATATATATATCCATCCATCCATCCATTCATCCATCCATCCATCCATTCATCCATCCATCCATCCCTCCATCCATCCCTCCATCCCTCCATCCCTCCATCTCCCAGCAGGAGCACGTGGACTCTTTTGGCAGGGCTGGGTGGCAGGAGCAATGTGGTTCATGGGGTACAGGGAGCTCTAAGGAGAGGGAACTGCAGACATTAATTAGGCAGTCGGTGAGATCCTCAGGTGCTGATAACTCAGCACAAGCACCGGGCCATTTGCATGCAGGAGATGTCCTAGAGAGAAGAAATTATCCCCCGTGTCCCTCCTTGTCCCTTTGATCAGGTCCCAGGGCCACCACAGCTGGCAGAGCAGGGTGACAAACCCCCTCCTCCTCCACCAAAGCAGGTGGAGGGAGATAAAAAGGAAGGGGAAGGAGGAGGGAGCGGAGCTGAGGAGCAAAATCAGCTGCACTACAAAACGCCCCGAGCAGTCACTTGTGCTTGAGGCCATCCCTGCTGTGTGGCCGAGTGGCTTTTTCCAGGCCTGGCAGGAGAAGCCCGGAGGGGTGGGAAGGGGGACTGGGATAAGGGAAGGAGGAAGACGGCCCCAGTTCGAGCTTCGATAGCTTTCAGAGGTATTTTGGGGATGAAAGGTGCCCTGGGGCCCCTCCCAGCGAGCAGCATTGCTGTGGGTACGCTGCGAGCATCGCGTTTGGCTGGCTGGCAGCTTCCTTGGTGTGCTGAAAATGGTATTAAAAAAAATAATAACAAAAAAAGTAAAACCTACAACAACAAAAAATATAGCACCAGCCCCCCTCCACCTCCCCCCCCCCCCCCCCCCCCACCACCCAACAACAACCAAGAAAGGCAAAATCTTTCACAAGCCCGGAAGATGTCACCATAGAAACAGAAATCAGACCCACTCCACGGATCCTGCCGCCTGGGAAGGTGATAAAATGTTTTCTATCGATTGCTGTCGGGAAAGTCACTGCTGATAAGCCATCCGAGGAGAAATGGAGCGGGGACGCGGGGACGTGGGAGCTCTTCAAATGAGGCTCCAGATGGTCCCTCGGCTGCCCCTGTGCAGCGGGCGGGCACCGAGGGGCCAGGGGGTGGCCAGGGGTGGCTGCTGTGCCCCGGGCTGGTGCCAGCGTGTGCCCAGAGAGGTGGGAGCGTGCCATGCCCTTGGCTGCTGCAAGCACCGAGTGGAGAGCTCAGTGTCTGCTCCTGCAGCACGGCAGCTGTTCCTGGCTTTAAGCTGAAAGAGAGGAGGTTTGGATTGGGTATTAACAAGGAATTCTTCCCTGCGAGGGTGGTGAGGCACTGGCACAGAAGCCCAGAGAAGCTGTGGGTGCCACATCCCTGGAAGTGTTCAAAGCCAGGTTGGATGAGGCTGGGAGCAACCTGGGATAGTGAAAGGTGTCCCTGCCCATGGCAGGGGGGTGGAATGAGATGAGATTTAGGGTCTCTTTCCACCCAAAGCATTCCATGAGTCCATGAAAAACAACGCCACGCTGGGACAGATGAACCTTCCCCTGACTCCCTATGTGGCACCACCAGCATTTCACCTTCATCCATTCATCCTCTTGCCTGGCCTTGCTGGGGATCACTGTGATAATCCCCGTGGTGTTTTCCAGCATTCTGCCCTCCCAGAGCCCCCATTCCCGGTCCCCATTTGCAGGCTGGTGGCTGCTCTGCAGCTGGGAGCATCCCCGTGGCTGCGGCGCTGGCTGGGAGGTGTGGGATCTTCTTCCCAGGGCTCCGCACAGCGCCGGGGCCTGGCTCGAGTGCCCTTTGAAGAGATGGAAAATCCTATTATCTGCTCATTCTTCTCGCAGTGTGAAGCCTCCGAGCATTCAGCAGCAGTCGAGTGTGGTCTGCTGCCTGCAGCCCGGCGCTGCCTCCGCTCCCACCCACACGGGAAGCTCTGGGTCACCAGGGATGGGCATCACATTCCCATCCCCTGATCCCTGCATTTCCCATCCCTGATCCCTGCATTTCCCATCCCCTGATCCACGCAGCTCCCCCCACTCTGCTCCTTGCCATAACTCGGGGACCCAGCTGTCCCCAAAGCACCCTCCCAGCTCCCAGCAGTGGGGTGCAGAGGACACGCAGGGAAGCGCTGTGGGGGTCTGTGTGCTGAT